TCACCCCTCTCTCTACTGAAGAAGAGAATACATACACAAATAAGTAGTCAAATGAGAACCAAATAGCACTTTTTTATGTTCTAATATCCAGGCAGGGAACATATGTGGTAACCAGATGTAGGATAAAGTTTAGACTTGTGACCACTGTGAGCTATTTACTCCCAGATGAAATTTAGATTTTGAAACCAGGCTGACTTTTCAGTTTTAGAAAGAGCTTTCTGCATTTCACTGGAGGCATGTTGTAGAGGCAGGGCTGAAGTCTATTTCAAATAAAATGAGGCATCATGATCCCAACTATTAGTAAAAGCCTAAATTAGTCACTTGTTCTTTGACCACTGTTTTTCTATGGCAGTGTTATTTTCCTTATTCCATCCGTTGGCCATACTATTCAAGCCTTTGGTCAACAAGTGATGCCAGCACCATATTTTAGAAAGAAAACAAAAATATCAGAGGTTTCCTACTTCTAAGATCACCCCTAACACTACTCCTTTCAGAACTTTTCTGGAATATCAGGATGTGCTATTAATATATTGCACATGCTCCCAAGGAACACTGAAATGTACCAGAACATACGTTACTAATTTCAGAACCCTGAAGGCTATGCTGAATTTTGGCCTCCATTTTATTTTTTACCACTATTATCCATAATTCTATGGATAATAAACAAATTTGAAAGATGAGACCAAATATATAATAGAGAATACCTCACCTTTTGTTCAATGCCCATGGAAAATTAAAGTCAAAACAATCAATGCTAAATTAAAATTTTAAAAATCATCTACACACTGTTTTATATATTATTCCAGTTTCAGCCAAAGAGATCACAATCATATGGAGCTAGCAGTCCTCTAGTAGCAGCTTCCACCAACGTAAATGTACCTCCGTCTGTATTTTATTTGAAGGTGAATCAACCCAATATTAATGCTCTTGTGTTTTCCCTTTTCCAAATGGTGTGAGTCAGTAGAAAACAACAGAATTTATCTCAAGCCAAATGATGTTCCCCAGATTCATATTTGCTATTTCCAGCAAAGGAAAATAGAGTTTTAGTGTTGTCTGGGGAAAAAAAGAGAATAACCTAGAAAATATGAAACATGAGTTTTAGCTTTCAAGGATGCCAATCAGCTTATGTATATTTTTCGGTGTTCACTTTAGATTTACATTAAGTAAAGAAAAAAAATTATCTTCTGACAGCTAATTGTAACTTTACACTTCATTTATGATGGGATTTAGAAAACCATGAAGCATTGCTTTCTACTTTTTCACATAGTGACATATAAGATACTCCTCTTACAAATTTTAGAAATTTGTAAATATTTAGAAATAACCAATAAAGATATAAAATGTTTATTAGTAACTAAATACAACATCTCCAGGATTCAGAACTTTTCTGAGGTTTACTATTTTATCCATCCTTCATATTTAAAAACTTAACTTCTGTATATGTTTGAATTTTATGTTCTAAGTATATTTATGCTTAATAAACTTTAAACTTTTTCTAAGTACATAGCATCTACATTGTTTTATTATCAGTGTTCACCAAATTTATAATGGGCAACTCTCTTATCAAAATCAATAGCCTTGAATTTTCAGTGTTCCCAAGCCTTGAGTCCTCTCTGTCTATGTCTCTCTGTCTAAGAAAATTTCAGTTCATGGTTAGCTCCGTGGCATAACAGCCACAGATGTTTCCTAGTCTGGAATTCCCTAGGCCAGTCATTTCTAAACATTCCTACGCATTCCTTTCACCCAGAGTGATTTTTAAAACGCCTTGGTTGCATATCAACTAAATTAGAAGGTGAGAATCAGGCATCTATATTTTTTAAAGATCCACAGATTATTTCAATATGTAGCACAGAATTCAGAGGCCCATTATACTAGACTTTATTTTTAAATAATTTTATTAGTTTTTCTCTACCTTAATTTCAGCAAGATAAATAGCCATCTAGAGAATGAGTAGAAAAGCAAATAAAGATGAAAATCATGAACATGATTACTGAATTAAGTAAATATAAATAGAAACCTCAAATGATATTTCAAACCATTCTAACTACTGAAGTAGTTTAAAAAAAAAAAAAAACTTTGGGGAAAAATGAAACATCCTATTTATTTCAGAAAGAAAAATAAGCCATTTACAAAAGATCAAATATCAGAATGGTTTGGACTTTTCGAAGATAATACTGGAAAACAGAAGAAAATAGAGAAATTCAAAATTCAGAAGAAAAAAAATTTCCAGCATAAAATTTAGCTATACATTAAGTGTGAAGACATACAAAAGGATATTTTCGGACAAGGAAACTCTCAAAATATCACAGCTTTATGCACCATCTTTCAAAAATTACTGAAGGATATGTTCCATTTAAAAGAATAAACCAAGAAAGAAGGTCTGGTACTGTGAAAGACAAGATCCCATGAAAGAAAGCAATGGAAATAATTCCCAACATGATTTAGGAGTTCATAGATGCTGTTTTGCTCCAGAGAAAAAAATTCCAGATTGTAATTTGAAAGGAAGATAAAGTTAACAGAATATCTGATGGATTGGAAAATATTGGAACATAATTTAGACATAAGAACTTGTGGATAAGTTAATGGCATGTATGGAGAAAGCTATATGAAATATATAAAGCAATAATCTCAGGAAAATGTTTTACAGGAAAGGAAAAGTAATCATACTTTTCATACTTTTTCATATAGCTTAGCTGGGGGTCATGTTTCCCTTATCATAAAAATGTAAAAAGTGAATATTGAGCTAACAAAAAAAAATGCAATTTAGCCATACCTGGGTAATGGGAGGACAGAAAAAAGTTGACGTTAGTAGGGATAGGTGTGATGTAGGGAGGCTGGCTAATTCCTTCTCTTCTTTGTGGGCATCAGAATATATGACTCTAATGGAAACATAAAAGTAGCAAAATAAATGTATTATGTAGAAAAATTGAAGTAAATACCCAAAGAATCAATTAAATGAACTGAAATAATTATTTCTAAAAGAGGGAAATGGAGGAATAGAGCCAGGTGCTGCTATAATTTTTTTTGTAGCAAACCTTGTAATATCAATATACTACTAAATTATGTTCAGTTAAAAAGACAAACAAAATAAATTAGGTTTAGATAGCAGTTTTGTGTGTGGTTTTATCTACCTTAAATAGAGTATAACTCAGAGCTATTTTAACCCTATCACATAATATTTTTGATGTTTCTATTTATCTAGCTATAAGCCTAATAACAAAGTTTGTGACAGATAATGAAAGGCTTTGAATGTCAAGTAAGAAGTTAGGGGAAAAGAATGATTCTTAGAATCACACCAATGCTTCACATTCTAACTGTGCTACTCACTGGTGTCATATGTATCCCGCCTGGGCTTCAACTCCCCATTAGGTAAAGAACGGAATATTTCCCACTCTCAGCGTCCAACACAGTACCGGGCAACAAAACTGCTCAACAATTTACTGATTCCTACTCCTGCTGCTCTGCTAGCTAATAATCTTTTTGTATCCTCTTCAATTTGCTGTACCAAAGTTTTAGATATTTAGTAAAAGAATGAATAAATAGACCTTAAAAAAATTCCTTGGCTTTATGCTGAATGCTAAATCAGGCATTAATATGAAATTTTCAGAATGGAAGAGTGAGGATCTCTGTAAGTTTACTCCTCCAAAAAAGCAACAAAAACACTGGCAAATTGTCAAAATTAACTTTCAGAACTCTAAAAATTGAACAAAGTCTTGCAACTATCTAAGGAGTGTTTATTCAAGAAAAACTAATGGATTTCTGTAAGAACAGAAGACATATTAATTTTGCTCCACTTCCCAGCTCCACAGTAGCCTTGAAATCCACAGTCTCTAAAACAACAGAAGCTGCAAGACTCCTAGAGGGCAGAACAGGTTTGGGGCTGCTCAGAAAGTCCATCTTCGGAGCTGTGTCTCTGTGTGACCTGTCAGGCAGCTTCCTGGATAAACCTCACTCAATGGGCTTTTCATCCTATGACCTAACTGAGAACCCACTTGGGAAAAATCACAATCCCTAGGGCGTTTGTTGAAAACAATCAGAAAACTGTCTAACATTGTAGCTGTTTACAGCTGTGATACTGGTTGGGGCAAATAAGAGACTGAACAAAAAATTTAAAAGATCTGGGGAAATTAGATGTCTTTAGGAAGCTTTAAAAAGCTTTGACATATTATTGTTATCCAGAGGTTACATGAGTGTATAGGGGCTGTGTACATGGCCAGAAAAGTCCCATGAGCCCCAGTAGCTCTCCTCTGGCCGACCTCAGGCCCTGAGTAAGCAGGAAGTAAAGGATAAGGTAAAGTTGTAAATTGTCTGAGCATTGAAGGGCATGGCTCCAATCAAGCATGAAGCCCCTTGCCAAAGGCTGGAAGATTTATTGGCTCAAGGAAGGCAGGAAATCTCTGACATTAGCTGACCACTAAGCTCACTAAGCAGAGGTTTCAGTGGCTGTGCACCACAGGGAAATACAAACTTTACAGTATTAGTCCAGGTAAGTTACTAAATAACAAAGAACAATAATAAGAAAAACCAGGGACACAAACTGTGGGTTGGAGGTGGGAGGGCCTGGTTTCCAGAGTTGCTACATTATATTATCTTAAAAAGTATCTAATTGTCAACAAAAGCTTCTGAGACATGCAAAGAAATAGAAACATATAGCCCCTGCATGGGGAAAAAGATCAAGAGAAACTGTTTTTCAAGGAGCTCAGATGTTGGACTTACTAAATTAGGCATTTACTAAGCCATTGGAGTTATCTAGATTAAGGAAACTGAGACCAAGAGAGGTTAAAGAATGGCTAGCATCAGTGTTCAAGGGAGACCATGAATCTTGTGATTCTCAATCCAGATTTTTTCATGGAATTGCTGTCTTCAATTTTGAGCATCTGTATGTCTGTATGTACACACATATTTAAAAAGTCTTATTTTCACTAATAATGAGAAGAAATTATGTGAAAATATTTTAGATAAGTCTCTAAACAGCACTTATTTTTTAATCTCTTTTCCAGGCCCTCCAGTTAATGTCACATGCAACATATTCATCAACAGCTTTGGCTCTATTGCAGAGACAACCATGGTAGGCATGTTTACTTTCTAACAAGCTTCACACTGGAGTAATCTATAATCACATTAATGACAACTTTTCTGCTAATGTTCTCTAATTTAAAACCCAAATTAATTAACAAGATTTTAAAAGATAAAATTAGTGGTATAATTAAATTATAATCAACTAAAGGTAATGATGTTTCATTTAGAGATAGTATATTAGAGAATAAATGTAAGTGAAAACAAGATTGATTTTTTCTAATTCGACAATCTAATAAAGGCTCAAATTAAAATGGAAAATTTTACCATATAAATCATTTATTTATTTATAATGCTCTTTAGTAGCCAGACATAAGCATGGCAGTAAATTCTTATATGTTTATTTTGTACAATTACAAATTTATTTATACTGTTATTTTAAGTATTCTACCTGATTATTTTTTCAAATGAATATAGTACTTGCCTAAACATCAAAGATTTTATAAATTATGGTATATGTTTTCACTTAACATTACTATGTAATTGTGAATATGTTATATAATCAAGTCATTAAAGCCAGAAAAACATGTAAATGGTCATTACAGACCAAATTTATTGTTTTGAATCTTATAACTTTCTTTAAAGATCATGTTATCTCACCTTTGCCCCATAGTTTCTTTTGTGCACTTAGCTAAGATAAAATGCACAGATAAACACAGGAATTACTGAATATCTGTAACAATATTTAGCAGCCAATTTCTTTTTCTTAAAACTATGTATGATGGTTCTTAAATTATATAGAATTATACTCTATTCCTATAATTAGCAAGTATAATTTGCATTACTTTTCAAAGTTACCATTATCTAAAATATGATATAAATACTTATAAAGATTTATTAGTTTCTAAAACCATTATTGAATAGAGAATTATGCTCCTTTTATATATCTCAGAATCACTTGATGGTGAATTTTCTTAAAATACTCTAATATGCAAACTATTACGTGTGTGGAGGTGTGCAAGGATGCAGTGTGTATGTGTAGGGATCCATATCAACAAGAAGAGACTTTCTTCAGGCACTATTTTGTTTTAAATGCTGTTTTTGTAATGTGTGCAATATTTGGTCATTTAGTGGCATCTCTGTGGTTCTATTCAACTTTAATAAAACTACAATAAAAGCATTAGTGGAGAAGAAATGAACTTGCCATTTTGGGGCATTATTTAGAATTATCTTAAATACAGTACTCTGTAAGTTAACATGAATGTATGTGTATGAATCTAAAGACAGAGAAAACACATATAATTTGTTGGTATAAGCACAATGTGTTTCTGCTGAAATTCCATCTCTAAAGTGGCTATAATCCTGTTTCAGGCTTTGACATATTCTAGATTCTGGTTGAATATCCAGTCCTGATTTATATCCTGCATTTGTACACACTGAGTACAAATCATCCAAAGATGAAAGAACTGCTGTTGGTTTTGTTCTGCTTCCCAAATTGTATTTCTAGCCCTGGCAACTTTCTCATTTTAATTGTTTCTATACATGCTGTATAATTATAAAAACCTGTAAATATGTTTCTTTATATTTTTTGCTTGCAAGATTGCTTCCACAAAATATATTCAACAGCAATAGTTGGACAGGTTTACAGGCTTACCATCTTTAAGGGGAGGGGGGAAGGATTTGGAAAAAAGAGCGCACACAGCCAGATTTCCTTCTCATTAAAGCCTAAAAATTGTCAGTTTTCTGAAGGTGCCTGCTCTTTATGACATAATTCATTAGTCCACTACTAATATGGTTATAACACAATCTATAAGATGACTATGCCAGCTAAATTTACCTTAAATTATTTTAGACAGACTTGTTTTACAGAATAATATTCTATAAAAATCTTGCAGAATATTGCAAGCTTACTATCGTGATAACCCTTATTCAGTTTTATTTCCCTCCTCTAGCATAGCAACCCTTCCCTTTCCCGCCTGTGTATCCCACTATGACATATTACTTTTGAAATCATTTTTAGCGTGTATCACTCTCCTCCTCACAGTCACAAACAGCAGCAATGAACATCATTCAAACACCTCAGGGGTTAAGTACTACAAAATTAACTATGTCCACCTTGGTAGCTTTCTTTTTATTCTTCTAAACTCTTAAATGTGTGACAACATTATTTCCATTCAAATGATCAGATTCAATATTTGTAAAATTTTAATGGTATTAATATCAACTAGAATAGCTGCAATATGGTGTCCATCTACATAGGCATAGAGAAAATTAGAACTTTGTAGTATATTTCTATAATAAGAATCACACAATATTTTGCTCCCACTTGATTCAGTTGATATATTTTATTCATAGTGTCCACCATGATGACCCTGCAACTAAGTTTTACCTCATTGTTTTATTGCTATATTTGTTTAAATTCATTTTTATGTTAATATATGTGTTGATAATATCTTTAAACTTATTCACATTTCTTACACTGGATATAGTTTACCTTTGTTCTTCTAATACAAATATCCTATTTCAACTAAGTCAGTTAAAATTTAGAAGATGGACTCTCAAATTATCGATAGTCATTAATGAGTATCTTTGTGTCTGAGAACTCATGTTTAAAATAAAACTAAATAGGCCAGGCATGGTGGCTCATGCCTGTAATCCTAGCACTCTGGGAGGCCAAGGCGGGAGGACTGCTTGAGCTCAGGAGTTCAAGACCAGCCTGAGCAAGAGTGAGACCCTGTCTCTACTAAAAGTACAAAGAAATTAGCCAAACACCTAAAAATAGAAAAAATGAGCCAGGCCTGGTGGCACGTGCCTGTAGTCCCAGCTACTTGGGAGGCTGAGGCAGGAGGATTGCTTGAACTCAGGAGATTGAGGTTGCTGTAAGCTAGGCTGATGCCACGGCACTCTACTCAGGGCAACAGAGTGAGATGCTGTCGAAAGAAAGAAAGGGAAAGGGAAAGGGAGAAAGGAAGAAGGAAGGAAGGAAGGAAGGAAGGAAGGAAGGAAGGACGCATGCATGGAAGGAATTAGTTAATTAAATAAAACTAAATAATTCTACTAATTTATATATCTCTGCTTAACAAAGATCTTAACAAAGTCCTCAATATCTTTACTGACCAAATATATGGAGCTCCCCCTGCTGGTCCAGCCTCTAACGTATAGTATCGCTCCCCATTTTGAAATGCAGCTCTAGTAACATTTGAGGTTATTATGTAATTCTTGAGAAAATTTCTCTAGTAGATATTCTACCTTTTAGTCTACTTTTTGCAAATTAAGTTAATTCAAATTTTACATATTTTGCATCTTCTTGCACCAATTTTTTAAAATACTTGCATCCATTTTTTTCAATAGTATAAACTTAAATTTCTTTTTAGCTGTTATACTCATCCTTGCCCAATATTTGTTAATATAATTAATTTAATTTAGTGTCAACTATTCTTGCTTGAGTACAGTTTTATTGTCCTTAACAGATAGCCATAAAAATATTTTTTATAAATATTATGGGAATTTTAACTTCCCTATTTCCCTCATATTTGAGCCATTTATTATTATATATAATGAAATTCTCTAAGGACTTGTTCAGCTCCTATAGTTCCAAGTTCACATTCTTCTTAAATAGACAATGATCTTACAATTAGTGAGAACCACTGTTCCTAAAAAATAATTAAAAATAAAATTATAATAGTTTATCATCATGACAGCTATTCTCTTTCCCACTGGTCTTGGTAAGAGGGGCACATCTGTCCTGCCTTTGAAACTTGTGACAAAAGGAGCTCATGATTGTTTCTATGGAGGGAAGCTTAAGATCTTCACATTAAGTGACTCTTAAGTCAAGCAAGCTCCTGCAAACCTGTAATGAGTTGTGGATAAGGCTTATATGCCAAAATGAAAGCAGTTGTAAGTTGGGCTTTTCATTCTCAAGCAAAATATTTTATTTGGTAATATGTACAAAAACAGAATTGGAATCTGGGCATATACACAGACCAGGCTGGTCTTCGGTATATCCAAAGAACAAAAGAAGTGATTGGGGTTTTATTGGGAAAGAGAAATGTTACCTAAAATATTCTGAAAGGAAGTTCATTGATACTAGCAACATTTTTCCAGAGCTGACGAGCCCTTGATCGGTGAGTGATGGTGGTAGGTAAAACTAGTCTTAGGGTCACAGCAGGTCATTGCAGCAACTACTAGGTAAAACTGGTCTTAGGGTTATAGCAGGCCATGTCAGCAGCTACTAGGCAACAGTGGTGCTAGGATTGAAGCAGGTCATTGCAGCAGTTGGGCTTGTGAGAAAGTTCCTGGAGCAGACACTTGGTGCCCTGAGGGCTTTTACCCCCTTTCTCCATTTTGTTGGGTACGACAGGAATAACTCCAATTTGTATAATCAATTTTTACAATTCATGCAATGGAATACTGCATAGCAACAACATGGATGTTTCTCATAAACATAACTATAAGCTAAAGAAAGCAGACAAAAGAGAATACATACCATTTACACCCACTTATATGAAGTTCAAGTACAGGCAAAATGAACTATCTTGATAGATTTCTGACTTCTAGAAGATTACCTTTGTCAGGAGGATTGGTAACTGACTGTGAGGAGGTACCATGGAGACTTCTGGCTACTGAAAATGTTCTATATCTTGATTTGGGTGGTAGTTACAACCAGGTATATAAATAAGTCAATCATCATTGAATGTACACTTAAGATTGGTATATGTTATGAATGGATATTATATAATATCTTGATTTAAAAGATTTTTAAGTAAACAAAAACCTTCAAAAATTTAAAATTTAACACACCAGGAGTGTCATACAAAACAAATCTATTAAGTGATCAGAGATGAGAACCTTAGAAGTTAAACAAAAAGAGCTTAAAATAAATGCTTTGTTTTATTTTTCATCGGCAACAGTCTGCAAGGGTATGAGTGTTTAGAACATTAATGTGTGATTCTCTAACTCTATCCCTTCCAATCCTTAAAAGTCCTAGTTAAAATGACCAAAAATAAGTAGTAATCTTGAAGAAAAAAAATCACGTGTGATTTGCAACTTCCA